TTAAGAAGGGTCTACCCACATAAAAAAAAAGTGGTTGGTTACTCCCATAACATCTGTACCACTGTTGTACCAGTGGCCCCATCTCGCTGGCAGGTTTCTATTTTAGCTCACAGGCTTTACAGCTGGGTGAGATGGATGATTACTTTTTTCCTCCAGTAATATGTGTAGCACCTTAGTCATAGGGGGTGAAGCTTCTTGTTGAGCACCAGCTCCATTTCTCCATGTTCAGTGACATCAGTGGTGTCTTCATCAGTAGAGCCTTACCCTCAGGCTGTGGAGAGTAACCAATAGCCTTGGCAAAAGTCTATGATGTTTGGTGAAGAGGGGGGGTATCTATGGGACCCCGTTGGCCAACATCTCAAAAAGATGTAACCTATTCCTGATATTGAGGAATTTATTTGGTGGCATATGATATCTAGTTGGGGTATTGTCTCCTCCACTATACAGTACCCTATTTAAACTTGTAGGTGGAGTTTACCTGTCCTGACTGCCTGCTCCCAAATAATCACTCGCAGACTTAATATAAATTACAAATGCTCACCTGATAGCTTAGACTTGTTACTAGTTAACTCTTATACTTAACCCATATTTCTTATTTTATCATCTCCCATGAGGCTCATCGCTTGTTACCTCAATTTCTACATGTCCTGCTTCCTCAGCCCCCTTCATCCCAGCATCCTCAGTTTGATTGTTCCCCTTAAGTTTATCCTACCTTGCTACAGGCCAATCAGCTTCTTTATTAACCAGTGAGAGTAACACATATTCAGTGTACGGAAGAATTATTCCACAGCATAAGCTCCTTTTAGAATGTGTGTATTTTAGAAAGCTTCTAAAGTAGTAGGTTTCACATGACTTCAAAAGTTAGTGTTCATTGTCCCCATACTCCCCTTATCTCTCTCCTCTCATTTAATCTTCCTATCCTAATTTTTTGGGGCTTTGTTTTGTTTTTTAATTCCATTGTCCCTTTACAACACTATAGTGTTCCCCCTTCTTTGGAAGATTCACTCTTCCTTCCGATTCTCTTACTAACTTTTGTGGTCACTCTGATTGAAACACATATATTTAAAGCTTAAAACCTAACACCAACCCATAAAGAAGGCAATGTGTATCTTTTGGATCTGGGTTCCTTCAGTTTAAAGGATTGTTTCTAGCACTATCCATTTGCCTGAAAATTTTCATTTTTCTTAGCAGCCGAATAATATTCCATTGTGTAAATATACTACAATTTTGTTACCTATTCATAAGTAGATAAACACCTAAGCTGTTGCCAATTTGTACTTTTATGAATAAAATAGAAATGAACATGAATGAGCAAGTATCTTATGGAACTCATACATGACACTGTTAATAAGGCTAGAACTTAAAAATAGATAGTTCACTGGCCCAAGGGGGGAACATACTATTATTCTACTAAAGGAACATAGCAATAAAATAACTTGTAAGACATATTGCTATATCCATAGATCAGAGCATTGCTGAACCCTCATCAGAGAGTCTTCTTCTTGCTGTAGACTGTAGTTAACACAGAAATCCACAACTGGACAATGTGCAGAGAGTTTTTGGAGCACTCAGCCTTAATCATCAACAAACACACTCTCTTCAAGGCTCGGGGATCTATTCAGAAGGCTGAAAGGCTGTGAAAACAGAGGTGATGGATGACTCCAAGAAAATAACTTCTTCCAGACACAAGGCTGATGTACATATGAACTTACAGAGACTGTTACAAGTGTGCACAAGTTTAAGGCAGACACAATCCCAGCACAGAGAAGGGGAAGTAGACACAAAGTCCCACCCATAACCAAGAAGCTGTTTGCAATTGGTACCTGCTGGGAGAGAGAAACACTTTTCTTCAACAAGGTATGTGAAACTGGGTATATTAACTACACCTCAGGGCAGGCCCCATGATCAAATCAGAAGTAATTGGCCAATAAAATCAGAATCCATTCTGTGTCTGTGTCTCTGTGTGTGTGTGTGTGTGTGTGTGTGTGTGTGTGTGTGTGTGAGACAGAGAGAGAGAGAGAGAGAGAGAGAGAGAGAGAGAGAGAGAAGGGGGAGAGAGTGAGAGAGAGCATGCGCATACTTTGGTTTGTTTTTATTTTGTTTTTTTTTAAGAGAAAGAATATAAAAGTTGGGTGGATGTTGGGGTTAGGATCTAGGAGGAGTTGGGGGAGGGTAAAGAATATAATCAAAATATATTCTAGAAAATTTTTTAAAAAAAGATATAGACTGATGAAATAGAAACTTTTTTATGGAACATAATTTTTTTCTTGATATGCAGCTCAGATTTTATCTATTTCTGTACAACTGGACACATAAACACAAGACATAACTATTCTTGGAAGCAAAAATTCAACATCAGCTGGTTTTTGCTCATTTTATTTTAAATATATAAATTGTCAGTATACAAAAGTGTGTTTTAATACATTTATTTCCCATAGTACTTCTCAGAGTGTTTTGGAAACTAGAGAGTGAACATAAGCATTCTGTGGATTATGTTCAAAAAGCGGCAGATTTTATAGAGAATCAGTATACCCTACAACATGTATGTTCAGGACAGAAATAAGCATTATAAAATATATAAAAACAGATTTGGAAATACAAATACAGTATGCTTTAGTTGGATTTTAAAGATGCTTTTTTTTCTTCTCTTTCCCTTTTACCTCAAAAGTAATAAACACTTTTGAAGCTGCGTGTATTGTTGCACTTTTGATTTTCTGTTGTACAGTTAATGAGCCTGGGAGTCTGGATAACTGGTCATCAATCTGGCCTTCCCATTCTTTTGTTTCTTCTTCTTTGATTAGTAAAGGTTTTCCCAGAGTTTGGCCAACAAGGTCACAGACTTCTTGAGCTTTGCGCCATGCATTCTCAACAGCAACAAGACAGGCTTGCCGCCTTAGGGGTTGAAAGTAAAGATTAATATGGCATTAAAGGAACAGCCACACTCAATAGTTTTAATTAGGATGAATAATATAAAGATGTGCTCAACTTACCGAAGATTCTCAACAGAACCTGGAGTGTGATAGAACTCAGGTGGGTTGATGACAACAGAGCTGTCTAGCTTTTCAACCAGAAAGTTACAAATATTTTGCATTTTCCCAAATTCAGTAAATGTAATGCAGACCTGTAAGTGAAATGATACTTGAAGTTATTGTCATGCCTCATGTAGTTTTAAAATTTTGTCTAAATCTGAGTATAAAAAGTAAAGCCAAGCTGGTGTGGTAGTGCACACCTTTAATCTCTCACTTGGGGGACAGAGTCAAGTAGATCTGTGAGTTCAAGACCAGCCTGGTCTACAAAGCAAGTTTCAGGTCAGACAGGGCTACACAGCAAGCCCCTGTCTCAAACAGATAAACAGGTAGGAAGGAAGGGAGGGAGGGAGGGAGGGAGAGAGGGAGAGAGGGAGGGAGGGAGGGAGGGAGGGAGGAAAGGAGTAAAGCCAGATTATAAGGTTCTTTTATAGTAACAAATAACAAATACACCAGATAAGAAAAAAAACCCAAAGACTTGTGACTATGAAATTTAAAATGATCTGATGTTAGCTTGTATATTTAAAAAAATTTTAAAAACATTTTAAAATTTTTACTTTTTCTGAAAATTGGAGGGTTCTCCCTTTCAGCTTCATTATTTGGCTAATTTCTAACCCTGATACCATTCTGACTTCTTAGTCCAATTTATTCAATTAGATTCTGATTGGTAGTTAGTATGTCACCCTTTACTGATACCACTGAGGTGTGTGTCCCTTTCCAGTGGTCTTACTACACACAGAAGTGAATCTATTTCCCTATGTATCCACCTTTAAACATAGAGCAGCAGTCTCATTTCAGCAAAACTTGAAAGCTGTAGTATTTTCAGCTTTTAATGGAAGACCAACTCTTTTCTATTAGAGGGCCTTTCAAAATCTCAAGCTGTTAAAATGAATATGCACAGGTTGTAGAGGAGCAGGAGGAACTGAAGAGGAGCTGACCTCATACAGCATGGACAGCAGTGTTTGGTCATAAATGTTAGCCAAGGAAGAGTAGTGTCCCATCTGGTTTTAGTAAATACTGGTCAGAGCAACAGACAAAGGAACAAAGATTCAGTGGGTCACTTTAAATTGCAAGATTGGGAAACTCCAAAGCCTGAAGTTTTCCCTTTTAGTGAGTCCATATCTCCACTTCAATATATTATCAATGTTCTTTCAAAGGCCATTCTTTTAAGATTTACTTTTATTTTATGTGTGTGGGAGTTTTGTCTACATGTGTGGTTGTATATTATGCGTGTGCTGTGCCTATGGAAGCCAGAAGAGGTCATTAGATACTTTGGAAATGGAGTCACAGATGTTTGTTAGATGATATGTGGGTGCTGGAAATTGAACTGGGTTTTCTGGAAGAGCAGCCAGTGCTTTTAATCACTGAGCCATCTCTCCAGCTCCAAAAACCAATCAATCAATATCAAACCTTTGAAGTGACCAGGCTGACCTCCCCAGATCTGGGCTGGCTGCCAGCCTGGCCCTGATAATACACTCTTCTGGAACGTCACTACACTGGGCCTCTGTTTAGAGGCTGGTGCATGGTTTAGGTCATCTGCCTATGGATCCTTCTGGACTTATTTCATCCATGAGCATGAGAGCACCCAACGTGGGGCCACATACATCCACATAAGGCCTGAGAAAGGTTAAAAAAAATTTGGAACATGGAGTCAACTGCAGCTTCCCGGTGACCATGGTCTCCCAAGTAGGCTCAGCAGCATACAGAGATGTGGCTACTGGCCGCTGCCTGTGGCCTGGAGCCAACCAACAGCACCATGCACTAAGCTGAGCTGAGCAGCAGCTGACATAACAGTTTAAGATTTGTCTCATGTGTTCAGAGAACACTCAGATGTTCAGTGAAGATAGATCCAGACTGGGGTGGGGGGGGGAGGGACCTTTAAGATGGAATCCAAAAAATGTATTGCATTGGGGAAGAGGTTATGCTTTTGTTTCCACAGGAAATAAAAGGCTGTGGATTCATTCAAGATTAAAGAGAATCAAGAGTGATGGGGGAGACCTTCTGAAAATCCTGGCTACAGACATAAAGAAATAAACCTAGTAAAACTACAAGATAGGTGACACATATTTTACCTGTTCAAACATAAAAATAAAATCATCTTTGGCTGGCTTGTGTACAATGCACAGTCCATGTGTTAATGCATATATATATGTATATATATATGTATATACACACATATACATATATATGTGTATTATGTATGTTACCTTTGAAAGTTTGTGTGTTTTCAGAGCAAGGGGAACAGACACCAGTGAAAATAGGTGGCCCCTGTTATTTATAGTTTTTTTTTTTTTTTGGTTTTTCGAGACAGTGTTTCTCTGCGTAGCTTTGCGCCTTTCCTGGAGCTCACTTGGTAGCCCAGGCTGGCCTCGAACTCACAGAGATCCGCCTGCCTCTGCCTCCC